GTTGTTTTGACCCAGCGGTTGGGTTGTTTTGAACCAGCGGTTGAGTTGTTTTGTCCCTTTTTAACCCAGCGCTGGGTTATATTTAACCCAGCATTTTTTAGAATGTACGGAAGAAGAACTGCAGCATGAACCCTTTCTGGACCACTGAAGAATTTGATGTGCAAACATGTCAAAGATCTGCTTCAGGAGTAAACCAGAGCAGCCAAATCAACGGCTGACTCACTAATTCATTACCAAACAATACTAAATCCACTCTCTCTTATTGGTTTGTAATAACTCCTTAATGACTACTATAACGATATTAGCGTCCACACCAATTCACGATAATGTTCTGCTTATTATAAGCTTCCCAGGTGACAAATTTAGGTTATAAAAACGTTGTTTCGAAATGTTTCTGAAATGTCCAGTTTTCTTGATGTGATTATAACCTTTTTACAAGTTTAGAAAAAAATTCCTTGCAACATTTCACTGCAAAAAAAAAATGCTTTTCTTACTTTGAGTTTTTGTCTTGTTTCTAGTCCAAATATCTAAAAATTCTTATATCTAGACAAGTAAAAATGATTGTCTTGTTTTCAGAAAAAATAAGTCAAAATTAAGTGAGTTTTTCCTTAAAACAAGCAAAATAATCTGCTAATGAGGTAAACAAAATAATCTTGTTTTCGGTTTGAAATAAGATAATTTTTGCTTGTTTTAAGGAAAAACTCACTTAATTTTGACTTATTTTTTCTGAAAACAAGACAATAATTTTTACTTGTCTAGATATAGGAACTTTTAGATATTTGGACTAGAAACAAGACAAAAACTCAAAGTAAGAAAAGCATTTTTTGCAGTGACTATTTTGACCCAATATATAACAATATGCTCACACATGGTATAACAACCACCCCAAAAAAAATTTAATTTTCTCCTGGTTTCTCCCAAGGTTTTTTCTCCATTCTGTCACCGATGGAGTTTTGGTTCCTTGCCGCTGTCGCCTCTGGCTTGCTTAGTTGGGGACACTTCATTTCCAGCGATACCGTTGACTTGATTGCAAAGATACTATTTAAACTGAGCTGGATGTTGACATCACTGAATTCAATGATGAACTGTCTTTAACTGAAAAATTTGTGTTTACTATTGTCATTTTGCATTATTGACACTATTTTCCTAATTAATGCTGTTCAGTTGCTTTGACACAATCTGTATTGTTAAAAGCGCTATATAAATAAAGGTGACTTGACTTGACTTAATTAATTAATTAAAAAATTTTTTAAATAATTGTAATTATTTTTATAAACATTCTTACAAATAATTTTAAATGATTTTTTCCCCAGTTTCTTACACATGTGGTGTTCTGGGTCAAAAATAATGGGCCTTTTAAAAATTGCTTGCAAATCTCTCGTTATGCGATATTATCACCAAATCTTGGATTTAGTCTTTTTGTAAAAATGGAAATGCTAATTTATGTTATCATACTGGACTAAAACTTTGTGACTTTGCTCACACATGGTATAAAAATTCCCAAAAAATTAAAAGTTTTTAAAAACATTTTTAAATATTTTTTTTATTTCTGAATATATAACAATATTTGAATGTTTATATTTAATATTCTAAGAACGTTAAAATGTCCAGTTATCTTGTTGTGATTAGAACGTTATTTAAAGGTTACTAAAACGTTACTTACAACATTCTACCAACTTTTTTACCCAAAATATAATGTTATTTGAATGTTTAATTTGTAATATTCCAAGAACATGAGATGTCCATATTTGTTCTTGTGATTAGAATGTTATTTAAACGTTACAAAAACTTGTCCTACAATATTCTACTAACTGTCCTTTGACCCCATATTTAACATTATTTAAACATTTATTTTTTAGAATCTAAGACCATTAAAAGGGTCCAGTTTTCTTGTCATGATTAGAACATTATTTAAAGGTTACAAAAATGCTTCTTAGAACGTTCATCAGGTACAAACATCATCATAAGGACATCGCGAGAATGTTGATCTCAGAATGTTTTCGCTCAACATTATGAGAACTTGTATCAAATATTAATAAAGTTTTCAGAACATTCTGTAAACATTACTTTAAGAACATTTTGTTCTAACACACGTAACTTTTAAAAA